CCCGGGAGCGTCGCGGCAATCGGAGGAATGTCCGCGGGGATGCCGGGAAGGCGGTTGGCAGCGGACATACCGATGGCCCGCACCTTGCCCGCCTTGACCTGCGGCATGGCGGCGGCACTGCTGACAAACGTGGCATGCACCTGGCTGCCGATCACGCCCGTGATGGCCGGAGCCTCGCCGGTGAAGGGCACCATGGTCATGTCGGTACCGGCCAGCAGGTTGAAATACGCCCCCATGAGGTGCCCCTGGCCTCCGATGCCCGCGGTGGCGTAGTTGATGCTCCCCGGCTTGGCCTTGGCCGCCGCGACGAGGTCGGCCACAGAATGGATGTTCAGCTTCGGGTCGACCACGAGGATGTAGGTGGCGGCCACCGTCTGGCTCACCGGCGCGAAGTCGGCCACCGGGTCGTAGCGCACCGACTTGGGAGCCAGGTACTGCGCGGCGGGCGTGCACCACACGATGGTGTAGCCATCCGCCGGTTGCTGCAGCGCGTAGGTCACCCCCACCGTGCCGGCACCGCCGGGTTTGTTGTCGAGCACCACGGGCTGACCCAGCTTTTCCGAGAGAACGGTCGAGAGGATGCGGGCCACTGCGTCGGAGCCGCCGCCGGGCGGAAACGGCACCACCATGCGCACGGGGCGGTTGGGCCAGTTGGACTCGGGGCCCGAGGCCAGTGCGGCAAAAGGCGTTGCGATGCCGGCCAATGCAGCGGCGAGCGCGTCGCGGCGGCGAAGTCCGTGGCTTGGAGGATGGGTGTGGCTCATGTTGTCTCGGTCTCTTGTTGTGGTCTGTGCATGTCCGCGGGGATGAGGGTTGGGCTACTCCAGCACGATGCCGGCGCGCTGCAGCGTCTCCTGAACGCGCTTGCGCTCGGTGGCTATGCGCTGGCCCAGCACCTGGGGCGTGCTGGCCACGGGCGAGACGCCCAGCCCCAGCACCCGCTCCCGCACGGAGGGGTTGGACAGCACGGCCTGTACGGCCTGGCTCATGCGGTCGACGATGGGCTGGGGTGTTCCGCTGCGAGCGGCCAGGTAGTTGATGGCCACCAGATCGAAGCCCGGCAGGCTTGCGGCCACCGCGGGAATGTTCGTCGGCATGCCTTCCATGGGCTGCGCCGCCGAGACGCCCAGTGCGCGCACCCGGCCGGAGTTCACGTGCGGCAATGCGCCAGCGCCGCTGATGAAGGCCATCTGCACATCACCGCGCATCAGCGCCACCATGGCCGGCCCTTCACCGGTGAATGGCACCTGCGTCAGCTGGCCGCCGGCGGCCAGGCCGAACGATGCGGCCATGTAGTGGCCGAAAGAGCCGGTTCCCGCCGTGCCGTAGTTCAGCTGTCCCGGCTTGTCGCGCGCGGCATCGGCCAGCTCGCGCACGGTTCGCCAGGGCTGCTGGTTGCCCACCACCAGCAGGTAGGAGGCGGACACCAGCAGGCTGACGGGAGCAAGGTCCTTGACCGGGTCGTAGCGGATGCTGCCTGGCGACATGATCTGCGCCGAGGGCGTGCACCAGATGAAGGTGTAGCCATCGGCGGGCGCCTGAAGGCCGACGGCGACACCCAGCGTGCCCGCTGCGCCCGCGCGGTTGTCCACCACCACGGGCTGGCCCAGTTTTTCACCCAGGGCCTGCGCCACGATCCGCGCCACCGTGTCCGCCCCGCCACCGGGCGCGGCAGGCACGATGAGCCGGATCGGCTTGCTGGGCCAGGCGTCCTCGGCAGCACGGGCCTGCGGCGTGACCAGCAGGGCCGCCCCAGCCAGGGTGCCCATCAAGACTGCTGGCAGGGCCTTCAGGAAT